AGACTCGACTGAAAGCTCCATCTCGAAAGTGGGAGGAGCTAGTGTGCTGCAGCGACGAGTTGCCAGATGTACAATTAAGTGCATTACGCCATTGCACGATGCCACAGACCAGGAGACGAATAACTTTATTCCATTTATAATCGCTCTTTATATTTATTAATAACCGTTCTCCGATTCGGGATTCGAAGAAGAGGAATAGAAGGAGGTGATAAAATCCTCCTAGCCATCGAGAAGTACTTAGAAAGGGGAGAAAAAAAAAGAAGGGAGCTCCTGAAGGAAAAAAGGAAGAGAGAGAGGGAAAGCGATCAAAAATAAAAGGCGAGCATCGTACCTCTGGCACGGTGCCTCTCTCTCTCTCTCTCGCTTGGAAATCAATACGAAAGTGGCACTCCCTCCCCCCCCCCTCCCCCCCCCCCCCCCCCTCCCCCCACTTACCTGGGCACTCTCTCTCCACCTTACCCGGGGCACTGGCACTCTGCCCCACCCTCTTCCCCCCCCTACTCTGGTGGCACTATCTCCACCCCTTCCTGGGCATGCCCGCTGCTCCCCCCCCTTCCCTGGGCACTCTCCTCCCCCCCCCCCTCTCTCTCTCCCTCACGACCCCCCCCCTGTGGCTAGTCGACCAAGCACATCGCACGACCTTATCCCCCTTTCACTGGGACACCCCATCTGTTCCGCAACAGACGAAAGCCACTCCCACCTTACCTCCCTTCTCCCTGGGGCATGCGCCCGCCCCCCAGGGCTCGTCCCGGAGCACCCACCACCATGCCGTGGCTCTCTTAACGCCAACCCAACCACACAGAGCCCCCGCCCTTCCGAGGAACTAGCCCCTCCCCCCCATCCTCTCTTGGCACTCCTTCTCCCTCACCCCCCCATCTAGGCACTTTTTATTTTTTTTCGTCCCTTCTCCCCTTCCCCCCCCCCTCCCCTCCCATCCTAGGCACTTTCTCCATCCCCCCCCCCCCCCCCCATCTAGGCACTCCCACCTCACCCCTGGCATTCCCTTCTCCTCCCTCCTATCTACCCCCATACCCAGGGGTAACCTCCCTCCCTCCCCCCCCACTGGTAACTAGTATGGGGGGGGTGGGGGGGGGGTGGTGGGGGCGATGTGTTGGGGAGGTAGTGTGTGGTGGTTGTTTATACCAATTGTGTCTTGGCTAGTCTTGAGGTGGCTCGCGAGACGAGCTCGAGAGAGCGCTCTCTCGCTCGAAGCTGCTCGCGCGAAGGTCGCGCATTGTCGTCATTCTCTCCTTTCTCTCTCCTATCTCTAATTCTCTCTCTCTCTTCAATTCTCTCTCTCTCTCTCTCTCTCTCTCTCTCTCTTCTCTCTCTCTCTCTATCTCTTCTTTATATATTCGTTATTTTTTTTTCTCTCTCTCTTTCTATTTATTCTTTATTTTTAACTCCTTCTCTCAGTGTCACTTTCTCTGTTTCCTTCTCTCTGTTTCTGTCTCTCTCTCTCTCTCTCTTTATGTATATCTTTCTCTTTCTCTTTTCTCTTTCTCCTCTTTTTTTCTCCCACCCCTTTCTCTCTCTATCTATATATCTCTCTATCTCTTTATATATATCTTTCTCTTTCCCTCTCTCTTTCACTCTCTCTCTTCATATATAACTTTCTCTTTCTTTCTCTCTCTCTCTCTCTCTCTCTTCTTTTCTTCTATCACCTCTTCTTTCTCTTTCCCTCCCTCTCTCTCTCTCTTTTTTATATATATATCTTTCTCTTTCTCTCTCTCTCTCTCTATTCTCTATCTACTCTTCTTTTCTCTTCCCCCCCCCTCTCTCTCTTTTTCTCTTCCTTTTTTTTCCCTTTCCCTTCTCTCTTTCTCTCTCTTCTCTCTCTCTCTTCTCTCTCTCTCTTCTATCTCTCTCTCTCTCTATCTCTTTCTCTCCCCTTATTTTTATCTCTATTCTTTCTCTTCTCTCTCTCTCTTGCATCTCTCTCTCTCTCTCTTCTCACTCTCTCTTCTTCTCTCTCTCTCTCTGTTGCTGTCAGTCCTCACTTTTCTCTGTCTGCTGTCTGTGTCTCCTGTTTTTCTTTCTGTCTTTCTTCTATTCTCTCTCTCTTTTTCCTTCCTGTTGTTTGTATGTCGGTGTCTATCCGTTGTCTATCTGTGTCTGCCTGCTTTTCTCTTTCTACATATATTATCTATTTTATATCTCTATCTCTTTTTTTTTCTCTCTATCTCTGTCTCTCTCTTTCTTCCTCTCTCTCCTTCTCTCTCTCTCTCCCTTCCTATCTCTCTGTCTCTGTCTCTCGCTCTGTCTCTGCCTCTCCTCTCTCTCTTCCCCCCTTCCCTTCGCTGTCTTCTCTCTTCGGGCTCTCCCCTTCTTATTCTCCACTTCATCCCCCTCTTCTCTCCTCTATCTCTCCCTCTCTCTCTCTCTCTCTCGCCTTCTTTCTCTTTTTCTCTCTCTACCTCTTCTCTTTCCATTTCCCTCCCTTCCCCCCCCCCCGTTCTCCCTCTCCCTCTTTCTCTCTTTTCTCTGTCTGTCTGTTTTGCCCTCTCTTCTTCCTCTCCCTCTCTCTCTCTTCTCCCTCCTATCTCTATCTCTTGTCTCTCCTCTTTTCTTCCTTCATCCCTCCCCTTCCTCCTCTCTTCTCTCTTCTGTCTCTCTTCTCACTCTCCTCCTTTCCTCTCCTCTCTCTCTCTCTCACTCTCTCTCTCTCTCTCCCTCTCTTTCCTCATCTTCTTCTCTCTCTCTTCTTCTCTCTCCTTCTCCTCCTCTCTTTCCTCTCTCTTCTTTTCTTCTCTTTTCGCTTCTCCTCTCTCTCTTCTTTCCCTCTTTCTCTCCCCTCTCTCCTCTTCTTCCTCTCTCTCTCTTTCTCGCTCTCTTCTTTCTCTTTCTCTTCTCTCTCTCTCTCTCTCCCTCTTTTCCTTCTTCTCTCTTCCTTCTTTCCTCTCTTCTCACTCTCCCCCTCTCTCTTTATTTGTCTCTCCTCCTTTCTTCCTCTTTTCCCTCTCTCTCTCTCTCTCTCTTTCTTCTTTTAGCTACACCAGATCTGCCGATCCTTCAATATTTCAACTTGCAGACTATATTCTTCTCTTTAAAGCGGGCCGGAAATATGAAGGCTTCCGGGAGAGTGAGAGAGCGAGAAGAGAGAGTGAGGAGGGGAGAGAGAGAGGAGGAGAGAGAGAGATGGAGAGGAGGAGAGAAGGAGAGAGAGAGAGGAAGAGAGAGAGATAGGTGAGAGATGAGAGGAGAGAGAGTGAGGGAGAGGAGAGAGAGAATGAGAGAGGCGAGAGAGAGAGAGAGAGAGGGAAGAGAGATGAGAGAGAGGAGAGAGAGAGAGAGAGATGAGGGGAGGAGGGAGGGCGGGGAGGAGAGAGAGAGAGAGAGAGAGAGGTGAGGAGAGATGAGAGAGAGAGAGGAGAGTAAGAGAGAGAGAGAGCGAGAGAGGGAAGGAGGGAGGGAGGAGAGAGAGAGTGACAGAGGGAGAGGGAGAAGAAGAGGTAGGAGAGATTAAACGGCGGAAGAGAAAAGCGGGAGCGGAGAGAGGAGGAGAGAGAGCGAGAGAGAAAGAAGAGAGAGCGAGAGAGCGAGAGTAGAGAGGCGAAGAGAGAGAGAAAGACAGACCGGAAAGGGGGAGGGATAGAGAGAGAGAGAGAGAGAGAACTAAAGAGGAGAGAGAGGAGTAATGGAGAGAGAGGAGATAGAGAGATGGTGGAGAGAGAGTAGCGAAGGAGGGAGGGGAGGGAGAGAGAGAGAGAGCAGAGCGAGAGAGAGTGAAGAGGTATATTTCTCTCCTAGAGGGTCAACACGACAGTACAGAGAAGAGGGAGAGAGATAGAGAGAGATGAGAGAGTGAGAGAGAGAGAGGGGAGAGAGAGAGAGTGAGAGAGACGTGGAGAGAGAGAGAGAGAGAGAGAGGGAGGAGGGAGGGAGAGAGGAGATCGGGAGGAAGAGAGTGAGAGAAAGAGAGAGAGAGAGGAAGGAGGGAGAGAGACAGAGAGTGAGTGGACAGAAGGAGAGGAGAGACAGGAGAGAAACAAGACAGACAGAGAAGAGGGAGAGGGAGAGAGAGAGTGAGAGAGAGAGAGAGAGAGAGAGAGAGGAAGGAGGGAGGGAGGGCAGAGAGAGAGTGACAGAGGGAGAGGGGAGACAGAGAGAGAACCAGACAGACAGAGTTAGAGAGAGAGGAGAGAGAGGAGGAGAGATGAGAGGAGAGAGAGAGAGAGAGAGGTGAGAGGATGAGAGTGAGAGAGAAGAGGGAGGAGGGAGGGAGACAGAGAGAGAGAGAGAAGGAGGGTGAGGGAGACAGGAGAGAAACAGACAGATAGAGAAAGAGGAGAGGGAGAGTGAGAGAGAGAGAGAAGAGAGAGGGAGAGAGAGAGAGAGAGAGAGAGAGAGAGAAGAGGAGAGAGAGAGTGGAGAGTGAAGAGAGAGAAGGAGAAAGGGAGAGGGAGGGAAGGAGGGAGGGGAGAGAGATAGAGAGACGAAGACGAGAGAGAGAGATGAGAGAAGGAGAGAGAGAGAGGGAAGGGAGAGGGAGGGGAGGATGGAGGGAGGGAGGGAGGGAGAGAGATAGAGAGAGAGAGAGAAAGTGAGAGAGAGAGAGAGAAAGAATGAGAGAGAGAGAGGAAGAGAGAGAGAGAGGAGAGAAAGGGAGAGGAGGAAGGAGGAGGGAGAGAGAGGAGGAGAGAGAGAGAGAGATGAGAGAGAGAGAGAGAGGAGAGAGAGAGGGAGGAAGGGAGGGAGGAGAGAGAGAGAGAGATGGAGAGAGAGAGAGAGAGGAGGAGAGAGAGAGAGAGGGCAGAGGAGTGAGAAAGAGAGGAGAGAGAGAGAGAGAGAGAGAAATGAGAGGAGCTAGTTGAGGAGAGAGAGAGAGAGAAAGAGAGAGGAGAGATGAGATAAAGAGAGATGAGAGGAGTGTAGAGAGAGGAAGAGAGAGAAAGGAGTGGGAGGGCAGGAGGGGGGGAGAGAGAGAGTGAGAGAGAGGAGAGTGAGGAGAGGGAGAGAGGAGAGTGAGAGAGAGAGATGAGAGAGAGAGAGAGAGAGAG